ATTTTGTCCATTAACAATTGTGTGTGTGTGTGTGGGGGGGTTTGGCTCTCCAAACAAAAACCACATTCACTGCACTGGGCACTTTGATTCAATTGATTTTCATTTAGACACCACCTCCTCCTCCCCCATTAGTCAACTGTACCAAGGCCTCGTTATATTTCATTGAAACCAAGTACAGCCTCTCCTCACTTAATGACGGAGTTCCATTTCTGAGACCACGTCGATAAACGAATTCATCACTAAGTGAGGAGCATACTATAATGGTAGTGAGTTTGTGTCAACCATCTTTGATATTGTTTTAATGTCACCTTTGCACCATTTATAGCATTTCTGGTATATTTTTAAATGTTTACACAGTAGTGTACTATATATTGAAATAAACATAATAGGGGAAATCAGCTCTAATATACATTATTTAGGTATGAATACTGGTCAGAGAGCCCATCATAAGTCTGAGGCGTCAGTAAACAAGTACATCAGTAAGTAAGGAGAGGCTGTATAGGATTGTACCTAACTCAACAGATATGACATAACATTACACAAGCTGCTCAACAAATTAATGCAAACTGTGGGCAAAATAAAATTATATATAATGGTATACAATACCAACAAGATGAAAAATTAGACACGTACAACATCTGGGTGTCTTTATTGTAGACGTTTCGCCATCTTCATGGCTACTGCTTCTACTACCACCACCATTAACCCGTGCCTCGGGTATGACCTACTTCCACTGGGGAATCCTGCCTACCAGTGACAATGCCTTCGTCTGCTACCCGTCCCCTTTTCACATGATGCCAGTATATAAGCACCAGCCTTCTTGCCTGTGCTCCAGATTCTTCACGACTATGGTGCTCTTCACACCAGCTCCAAGGTCGAGGGACTGAATACCTCATCTTTTGTATAAAGTTTTACTATCTTCAAATTATGTCATAAAATCTGTATTGATAAAGCCACTGGATGGTGAAAAGTCTACAATAAAGATACCCAAATGTTGCACACGTGTCTAATTTTTCAGAAAATTATTCAGTTGTATGTGAGGATCTAATGGTTCAATTTAATGGGGCTATAAAATGATACAAAGAATTCAAGCACTACCCCATAACAAGGATCAGTTCACTTTTTACTTTCATTATTAGCTTTACAAATAAAATGATGAATATTTCATGAGTTTCAATTTGGGATTTTGTTATTCTAGAGTACCTATTCTTTCAAGAAATTCACAAGTATTCACACACCAAGTCATAAATGCAACATCAATAACAAAGAAGAAATACTGCTTTACAACGGACATTCATAATTCACATGAATTACATTCCTGAAAACCTGCACTACCAATGATTTCCGAGATTTAGGAACTGGAAAACATAAATGATAAGCAGGACTGCGCTCCTCTGACCCCTTATATAAGGCCTGGGAGAAGCTGGTTGCTGACTCAGTTTAGTTTATTTTTGAAACCTTACTGGTGGAGAATAAGAAGAAATTGATGAATTGGACACATGTGCAACAGCAAGATTTCTTTATTTTGCAGAGATTTCACCAACCAAGGGAGACAGCAAATTCCTTCCACAGTAAGTGGGAATGTGAACATGAATGACCCTCAAAACCACCAGCACTCACATCATACAGTATTTTTGTTGCACACATACTTGTTGCTAGAAAATAGTGTATAGCTGTTGTGGCCAAAATGGCCAACTGTGGCCTTCCTCTTAACTACATCATAAATGCTACAATTTTCTCTTTTAATAAAGTTTTCACACTTTATTATCAATCGACCTAGAAAATGTACAGAGAACTTTCACGGCGCGCATAACGGAGATAAAACACCTCAATTACTGGGAGCGCTTGAGGTTTCTAAACCTGTATTCCCTGGAACGCAGGAGGGAGAGATACATGATTATATACACCTGGAAAATCCTAGAGGGACTAGTACCGAACTTGCACACGAAAATCACTCACTACGAAAGCAAAAGACTTGGCAGACGATGCACCATCCCCCCAATGAAAAGCAGGGGTGTCACTAGCACGTTAAGAGACCATACAATAAGTGTCAGGGGCCCGAGACTGTTCAACTGCCTCCCAGCACACATAAGGGGGATTACCAACAGACCCCTGGCAGTCTTCAAGCTGGCACTGGACAAGCACCTAAAGTCAGTTCCTGATCAGCCGGGCTGTGGCTCGTACGTTGGTTTGCGTGCAGCCAGCAGCAACAGCCTGGTTGATCAGGCTCTGATCCACCAGGAGGCCTGGTCACAGACCGGGCCGCGGGGGCGTTGACCCCCGAAACTCTCTCCAGGTAAACTCCAGGTAAACCAATATATTCAACAATTATATAAATGCAGACAGTATAGGTAAATAACTGTTAAGACACAAGAATTTATAATTACAGTGCAACTGTATAACACTAGCTATATAAGCAACCCATAAGCCATAACAGCCATCACCACCTCCCACCTCTACTCAAACTACAATTTCCTTAGAAACTAAGAGTTTCACACCTAATTGCCTTTTTGACACCTCCAGTAACATATTTATTCCTTTTGGGTGCCATTATCAATATCACTGGTGAACAACCCAAATGCTTCCAAGACCAGAGTAGCATTTCAGACTAATTTTAGGTTACTGATAATGAATATCATGGCTAAAATTATTTGTTAGCTCTACTTTTCAATATACACCTACATGTCACAACAGGATCCAACAGGCTTGCGGCAGAGTGTTTCTTACCACACTCACAGTCTCACTGCCATTCATTACTGTTCCAACAGTCATAGCAGGTGGTTGTGCTGTGCAAGTTTATATTTTGAGATGAAAGATAGGCAATTTTCCTAGCCAAACACCAAGTACTGCTGCTTTCTATGTGAATGAAACATCCATGCAAGAGATTCCCACTACATCGGGAAAGACTGGCCACCTCGTCAATCATTGGAGCCTGGGACGAAAAATGTTCAACATCCACCTCTCATTGAACCAAAGAAAATTTTGCTACCACCACTACACATAAAACTGGGGCTCATGAAAAACTTTGTAAAAGCTATGGACAAAAATAAAATAAAAAAATAAATTCATTAATGCACTTAGTGACCCAGCGTAATGTGCACAACTTAAGTGCAGATGGACTCTGTATGCTCCGCACAGAGTATACATGTATTGTGGGAGCCATGACACATTTAAAGATAATCTTTTTTTGAGAAATGATTTTTTTTTTATCTGTAATGAGGGATGAATTTTATATTCAAAATCTATCTCAGTTGTTTTTACCATGTAAAGCACAGGTAAAGAAATGTGGGGGCAAGAAGGGAAAAAGAAGAAAGAAAGCTTGGAACATAGTCCTGTGTTCTACATATTAATCTTAGCAAGCTACCTTACAAAGCTTAAGGGACAAAGCTCAGATATCAATGCTACAAAAGATTTTTGCCACAAAATACAGTACTGTATATACTAAATGTCACTGCAAGCAAAACTCTTAAAATTTGATAGTCATAATTATGACTTAAAAAGTGCAAATACTGTAATGAAATTTAGTTGAGAATAACTAAAGGATCCACACAATAAAAAAAATTAGAGTCAAATCAACATACTATACATGCTAAAGGTTAACCTTTAAAAAATGGAGTATTTAATATTTTAATTTCTTTTCTTACTGTTACGAAACACACTAAGGATGCTTTTTACAGATACAGAAAAAAAAGTAGTTTAATGTCATACTGTATATGCTGTATTGATAACAAATGATAAAGGAACACTAAATAATAATAAAAAAAATTACCATATTGTAAACATTTCAATATGCTCGGTTTTTTAAATATCACAAAAAAAAGGAGTTTACTTTCTACAAAGCACTTTTGAAATGTAGGTACACATATATAGTTAATGATTTCTTATAGAAAGTGTTGCCAAAGCCAGAGAATTATGAAAATGATATCAATCCTATTTATGATGATTCTATAAATTAACACAAATAAGATTATTGATTTGCAAACCCAAAGAAATTTTGTATTAAATACATGATTGACCATTTCTAAAACTAGCATGCACTCTGCCACCAAGGATAACAGCATACATAATAACAAATCAAAATATTTAATTACAAATAGTCAAATGCAATTACAAAATGGTAATATAATACAAAGGATACCCAACGCAACTCTAAATTAATACACAAGTTACAGACAAGGATGAAAGAAACATGTCTTAAAATTTTGTGACAGTGCACACTGAAAAAACAATCTGTTAACATTACTCAGACAAAATCTGCATCATCCTGGTCACACTTTGTATTACAGTAACATCTAATAAAGCAAGTATAATTATTTTTAAAAAGTGATAATGTATCTGTAAATACTGTACATACATAGAAGTAATCAAGCATTAACAATAAAAAAGAAAATACATGCAAGAACACAATACACCCGATAGAGCAGCCACATACAGCAAGCACCTGACCAGTCACACTTCAGGCTCTGCAAATAACCTCTTCCATTAGTTTAAACCAGGGTATTATTTAGCATGTGATGCATGGCTAATTATTCATGCACCACATACACTAAATTAAAGATTTATTATGACAACTATAAATAACTAACAATAACAATATTCTCAACATTACGATGACTGTAAATAGACTTAAAAGTAGTTATCTTGTTTCTTTAATTAACCAAATAAAAGACATTGTACTTTCAAGAGCTTAATATGCAATTCTAGACAAGAATGAATATGTCTTCTGCTAAATATTTGTTTAAAATCTAAATCCAAGATTTAAATTAAGCACCTCTGGTATATACTAAGTACAGGAAGTATTGAGTTTTAGACCACAAAACCTACAGCTTTTGAAGTAATACTGGAGTGTACACTTGCAGCAATTTCTGACAGCTTTTGAAACATTGTTAATTCAAGTAACACAAGAACTGAGGATTCTGAGGGATTTTATTGAGCAAAGTTCAGTTGCCTACAATCAAAATACCAAAAATCAAGAGAAAACATAATAAAAATAGTCTTACCATAAATTGATAACCGTGATTTCGTCTATGCTTGCCAATCTCAGCACCACATGAAAAGCACTGCAAGCAAAGATTATACTGTAATTTATTATAATTCTAAGGTGTCAACTACATTTTAGAGCATTTAACAACAAATTTAATTCTTTATCCACACTACTTAATATTATTAGCGAATAAAAAGTATAACTGCCTAGTGATGACAGGTACACTGAGTTGAACTATTACATATGGTTTAGAAATTCAAATTTGGAATATCTTCACTCTAACACTGCAGAGTTTTTTTTCAAAAGCAGGAGTCACATAGTACATGTACCATTTTTAGCTACAATATTTTTTATCAGAATTTATTTCATTCTTATGGCCGACTCTGCAACCTTAAGTGATGCAGGACTGGCCCACTCCTTGAAAACTGGAGAATCTTCCAAATGTTCTACGTAGCAGAAACATAGTGATATAGTGTCACTCAGTGAACAAAGCCACAATTTAAAGGCATTTACTTGAACCTAGAGATAAATGCATCTTATCACTTCATGGTTCTTTTTCTGTAAGAGAGATGTAAATAACATCAATGACATGACTTCTCTTTCTTGTTGAAGAGAAATTAAAATAAAAAATATACCCCTTTTCCAAAATGATCCTCACCACAGTTTGCTACATGCAGACAGATGTTGTGCTGAACACCTAATATTATCTGTTCCTTCTCTTATTCCACAAAATGTTTATTTTTTTTTTTATTAACACACTGGCCGTTTCCCACCAAGGCAGGGTGGCCCGAAAAAGAAAAAACTTCCATCATTCACTCCATTACTGTCTTGGCAGAGGGGTGTTTTACACTACAGTTTATAAAACTGCAACATTAGCACCCCTTCTTCAGAGTGCAGGCACTGTACTTCCCATCTCCAGGACTCAAGTCCGGCCAGCTGGTTTCCCTGAATCCCTTCATAAATGTTACTTTGCTCACACTCCAACAGCACGTCAAGTATTAAAAACCATCAAATACACTCACGCATGCTTGCTGGAAGTCCAAGCCCCTCCCACACAAAACCTCCCTACCCCACCTTCCCTCCACTACAGATTTATATACTCTCCAAGTCATTTTGTTTCATTCCATTCTCTCTACATGTCCAAACCACATCAACAACCCCTCCTCAGCCCTCTGGACAACAACTTTGACAATCCCGCACCTCCTAACTTCCAAAGTATGAATTCTCTGCATTATATTCACACCACACATTGCCCTCAGACATGACATCTCCACTGCCTCCAGCCTTCTCCTCGCTGCAACATTCATCACCCATGCTTTACACCCATATAAGAGCGTTGGTAAAACTATACTCTCATACATTACCCTCTTTGCTTCCAAGGACAAAGTTCTTTGTCTTCACAGACTCCTCATCAATTCTATGATTCATCTCATCTTTCCTAGACCCATCTGCTGACACGTCCACTCCCAAATATTTGAATACATTCACCTCCTCCATACTCTCTCCCTCCAATCTAATATCCAATCTTTTGTCACCTAATCTTTTTGTTATACTCGTAACCTTCCTCTTTCCTATATTCACTTTTAATTTTATTCTTTTACATACCCTACCAAATTCATCCACCAACCTCTGCAACTTCTCTTTAGAATCTCCCTAAAGCACAGTCTCATCAGCAAAAAGCAACTGTGACAACTCCCACTTTGTGTTTGATTCTTTATCTTTTTACTCCACACCTCTTGCCAAGACTCTCATATTCACTTCTCTTACAACCCCATCTATGAATATATTGGACAACCATGGTGACATCACACATCCTTGTCTAAGGCCTACTGTTACTGGGAAATAATCTCCCTCTTTCCTACATACTCTAACCGGAGTCTCACTATCCTCGTAAAAACTCTTCACTGCTTTCAGGAACCTAAATCCTATACCATACACCTGCAACATTTGTGACACAGCCCCCCCCCCTATCAACCCTGTCATATGCCTTTTCCAAATCCATAAATGCCACAAAAACCTCTTTAGCCTTATCTAAATACTGTTCACCTGTTTCATTGTAAACACTTGGTCTACACCCCCCTACCTTTCCTAAAGCCTTCTTGTTCATCTGCTAGTGGGGTAGCATACACCAGGAGTGGGGTAGCATACACCAGGAGTGGGATAGCATACACCAGGAGTGGGGTAGCATACACCAGGAGTGGGGTAGCATACACCAGGAGTGGGGTAGCATACACCAGGAGTGGGGTAGCATACAACAGGAGTGGAGTAAGGTGCACCAGGAGTGGAGTAAGGTGCACCAGGAGTGGAGTAAGGTGCACCAGGAGTGGAGTAAGGTACACCAGGAGTGGAGTAAGGTGCACCAGGAGTGGAGTAAGGTACACCAGGAGTGGAGTAAGGTACACCAGGAGTGGAGTAAGGTGCACCAGGAGTGGAGTAAGGTACACCAGGAGTGGAGTAAGGTGCACCAGGAGTGGAGTAAGGTGCACCAGGAATGGAGTAAGGTGCACCAGGAGTGTAGTAAGGTACACCAGGAGTGGAGTAAGGTGCACCAGGAGTGGAGTAAGGTACACCAGGAGTGGAGTAAGGTGCACCAGGAGTGGAGTAAGGTGCACCAGGAGGGGTAGTAAGGTACACCAGGAGTGGAGTAAGGTGCACCAGGAGTGGAGTAAGGTACACCAGGAGTGGAGTAAGGTGCACCAGGAGTGGAGTAAGGTACCAGGAGGGGGAGTAAGGTACACCAGGAGTGGAGTAAGGTGCACCAGGAGTGTAGTAAGGTACACCAGGAGTGGAGTAAGGTGCACCAGGAGTGGAGTAAGGTACACCAGGAGTGGAGTAAGGTGCACCAGGAGTGGAGTAAGGTGCACCAGGAGTGGAGTAAGGTGCACCAGGAGTGGAGTAAGGTGCACCAGGAGTGGAGTAAGGTGCACCGGGAAAGTGGAGTAAGGTGCACCAGGAGTGGAGTAAGGTACACCAGGAGTGGAGTAAGGTGCACCAGGAGTGGAGTAAGGTACACCAGGAGTGGAGTAAGGTGCACCAGGAGTGGAGTAAGGTGCACCAGGAGTGGAGTAAGGTGCACCAGGAGTGGAGTAAGGTACACCAGGAGTGGAGTAAGGTGCACCAGGAGTGGAGTAAGGTGCACCAGGAGTGGAGTAAGGTGCACCACTAATGGAGTAACGTTCAAACTCCGCGCCCCTGCTGGTCACGTGACCCTCACCTGTAAACAAAGATCGAAGTCTTCACACTCCAGACAGCGTACCCTCAGTCCATTAACATCCTCTTCACAGTAGTTGCAGTGGTACTTTGCAAACGTATCTGCAATAGATAACACACCGTCAAGCATTCATAGGCCTACGAAAATTGCCAAAATCGGCCAAAAACCACTCACTGGTCTTAGAACTCTAGGAGAATGTCTCTCACCCGCCATTTTGCCTCAGAGTACGCTGATGACGTCACAAAGTGCCAAAAGACAAATATATGCCTGTTTTGGTCATATATCCGCCAATCCTATTGCCAAAATGCTCTTCTATATCTTATGCACTAGCCACTATCATAAATATTGAGAAAAAGCGAGTGAAACAAAAGGTTTTACGGAAAAATGGTTAGAAATGTCCTTACTGTACGAAAGCTGACTTGAGGCTAGGAGCAGCGCACTGCCAGACGTACAATATGAGGGTTGGGTCACTTGGACAAGCACTGACGTAGCCAACACTGCCAAACACACTTACTATTTACACTTTTTTTTTGGTATTGAAATTGTCGTTTTTGTCTCTTAGAATATCATACGAGTGTGCTCAAATGCGCATTAATTATCCTTTTTTTAAATGGAGTAAATGTCTGTATATTAGGATAGATTTTAAAAAGAGAGGCTTCCAGCTTGTGATTTTTTTTTTAGTACTGCTGCCCCCTCTCCCACCCCTTCTCTCTCTCTCTCTCTCTCTCTCTCTCTCTCTCTCTCCAAGGATGTGGACTTATCCTCCCTTTCCTTAGATCGAACATGATTGCCTTCCATACCCCATGTACTGTATGACACCCTACGAGTTTAGCGTTTCTCCTGATATTACTAATAATCTCTCTCTCTCTCTCTCTCTCTCTCTCTCTCTCTCTCTCTCTCTCTCTCTCTCTCTCTCTCTCTCTTCTCTCTCTCTCTCTCTTCTCTCTCTCTCTCTTTTCTCTTCTTTCTCTGCCTATCTGTTTATTTACTTAAATATCTATCAGTCTTGTCCCATGTGCCTGACCCGCATATATTATGTTTACATATAGGTTAATAATTCCCCCATACATTATACCAGTCAAGTATAGTATGAGAAGTGGCATCCTACTTCACATTACAGGATGGGGTACATAATAAACATATTTAACTTAAATCTAGGCTAACAAATCAATTTTTGAGAAATTGTAGGGATATTCTAGGTTAAACCAGCATAAAAAAATCACATCTACTCCCATAGCCTTCAAAGCCGTATATAAGCCTACAAACCCATGCTATATGGTAATGAACAACAATCAGTGAATGGACAACAAAAAAAGGGACTCCACTGTTTTCATTAAGGGGGGGGGGTTATCGTAAGTAATTTACACTCATAAGTTACTATGTAAGACAACTGTAATCATTCCAGAAACTGTGTAAAATTCTACCTAAATAAACTTGTTTACTTATGGATTTATTGAAAGGGATGACATTCATACTTGTATAGTAATATAGTATATTTGTTTACTTTCTCACATATTAGCCATCACATGCAATGTTACTGTTAAGATAAGATAAGATAAGATTTCGTTCGGTTTTTTAACCCCGGAGGGTTAACCACCCAGGATAACCCAAGAAAGTCAGTGCGTCATCGAGGACTAACTAACTTATTTCCATTGGGGTCCTTAATCTTGTCCCCCAGGATGCGACCCACACCAGTCGACTAACACCCAGGTACCTATTTGCTGCTAGGTGAACAGGACAACAGGTGTAAGGAAACGTGTCGGAATGTTTCCACCCGCCGGGAATCGAACCCGGGCCCTCCGTGTGTGAAGCGGGAGCTTTAGCCACCGCAGGAGTCATACAGCGAGTAGGGAATGGGAAGCAGGTTTGATCAAAGGAAAGGGAGGGTAATTTCCAGGTCCTTGGATCAAGAGCCCTTGAATGGGTGGATCCACCATGATACTGGGGATTACCCTGTACCATGTATGTGCTACTTTCATGCATAAATGCACTTAAATTTCGAAGATTAAGTACTGTACAGTTAAAAAATCGAGATAACCGGTCGTAATTAAATTTAATATTTTTAAAAGAATCCAATAACAACGAACAAAACATTCACACATGTGATTTTGAGCCAAAGTTAAAAATTCTTAACACATTAAGCAGACAATTAGAGAAATATTTTCTAACTGGTACGTGACGCTTGCAGATACACCATATGTCAGAATCTAGATAAAGTTAGTATAATATAGACAGGCAATGAGTACTTAAACATGTTCCCAGATGTGGTGTACAAGTCTTCTTAATGAGGCGGGTGTCTCCAGGCAGGTGAGTGACTCTTCATCAAAGGAATCTGAATTATTATTATTATAATAAAAAAGAAACGCTAAACCACAAGGGCTATACAGCGTTGATAAAAGGAATCTGAAATACTCTATCTTTTCCTTCAGTTCTTCAAGAACTGTGTGACCCAAGGTGACTCTCATTTATCATCAAGACCAATGATTATTCCTTTTTTTAATTAACATCTAGGCAGGAAATAAGTAATTAACACTGTGCTGTAATATATGTAATCTGTTGCATGATTCATGTTCGTCTAAATGAATTCACTAATTGGGTAATTAACTCGCAAAAAGTTGGTTAAATAATTCAATAACTGTATTGTAAATATTTCATTAGTACTGTAATTTGCTTAGCATACAGAATGTCGGGATACAGTCCCTGGACTCATTATGGACCTCTGTGATTTTTTTCACTACTGCCCTCGGGATAGGTATGGGTGGGTCACTACCACCCACGGGATAGGTATCTGTTGACTACTGCTCACACGATGGATGTGGGATGACTACCGCTCACAGGGTGGGTATTGGGTGACTACTGCTCATGGGGAGGGCATAGGGTGATTACCGCTCACGGGGTTAACATAGGATAACAATCGCCCACGGGATGAGTATTAAACTAACCTTGTGACTAGCAGATAATTGGAATTTAGCCTGTGATATTGTTTGGGACAACTCGTGGACCTGGGCTGAAGAGTAAGGGTGTCAACTATATCTTAATATTTCTTGGTCAGGTCAGTAATTATGTCTCTAGGCAGTTCCTTTTGAGTACCTAGTTCCTCTTGATGCCATAGTGTATAGCAGACAATATCAAGGCAGTATCAAACTTTTAAGAACAGCAGTGAGTGCAGGGCCAATCCTTGCGGAACCCCACTCGTTGCAACCCCCCCCCCCCTCCAAAAAAAAAAAACTTGACACTTCCCTCCCATATACCCTGTGTTTCATGTCTCAGATATTTCCTGATAACACTCAGTACTGTTACTTATTACTGCTTTATTTTTCTGGTTTAAGGAGGGATTGGCACCGAACCTGCAGGAGATGCAACATTCGGCAGGAGATGCAACATTCCCCCGATGAAAAGTAGGGGAGCCACGAGTACATTGAGAGACAATAAAATAAGTGTCCGGGGCCCAAGACTGTTCAATAGCCTCCTAGCATACATAAGGGGGTTACCAGTAGACCCCTGGCTGTCTTCAAGAAGGCACTGGACAGACACCTAAAGTCAGTACCTGACCAACCGAGCTGTGGTTCGTACGTCAACTTGCGTGCGGCCAGCAGTAACAGCCTGGTTGATCAGGCCCTGATCCACCATGAGGCCTAGTTTCAGACCGGGCCGCGGAGGCTTTGACCTCCGAAACCCTCTCTAGGTAAAGTCCGGGTACTTTTTTCAAAAGATTTGTGAGAGGATTTTCCTACAGTGAACCCGTAGTTGTGAAAAGCACTTTTGTGTGTGTTTGTTAGTTACCATTTTGTCCTAGACACATGTGATTTTGAACCTATTTGACAATTCTGTGACTGAAGGAAATACTTCATAACATCCTTTGACTCATCTGTGTCTTCAAATTCCATTTGTGACCCCTTGTTTCTGTGTCCCATCTCGGAACATCCTGTCTCTGTCCACCTTGTCTATTCCTCGCAATATTTTTGTATGTCGTTTATCATGTCTCCCCTTTAACCCTCTGTCCTACAGTGTCGTCTGGCCTTTTATCCCTTAACCTTTCTTCGTGGGACATTCCCCTTAGCTCTGGAAACTAGCCTTGTTGCAGACCTTTTGCACTTCTCTAATTTCTTGACGGCTTGACCAGGTGTGGGTTCCAATCTGGTGCTGAATGCTCCAGTTGGTCCTGACGTACACGGTGTACAGGCTTGAACGATTCCTTACTGAGGCATCGGAACGCCATTCTCAGGTTTGCCTGGCGCCCATATGCTGCAGCAGTTATCAGGCTGGTTGATGTGTGCTTCGGAGACGTGCTCGGTATATATTCACCCAAGATTCTTTTTTGTCCTTGAGTGGGCTTGAGGTCTTTGCCACCTGCCTTTACTCTGTCTGCGGTTTCTTTGCCCTTCCCCGATCTTCATGACTTTGCATTTGGCTGGGTTAAATTCAAGTAGCCAGTTGCTGGACCAGGTGTCCCGTCTGTCCAGGTCTCTTTGGAGTCCTGCCTGATCCTCATCTGATTTAATTCTTCTCATTAACTTTACATCATCTGCAAACAGGGACAGTTCTGAGTCTATCCCTTCCATCATGCCATTCACATATACCAAAAATAGCATGGGTCCTAGGACCGACCTTTGTGGAACCCCGCTCGTCACAGGCGCCCACTGTGATTCCTCACCTCGTACCATGACTCGTTGTTGCCTTCCAGTCAAGTGTGTGTGTGTGTGTGTACTCACCTAATTGTGGTTGCAGGGGACGAGACTCAGCTCCTGGCCCCGCCTCTTCACTGACCGCTACTGGGTCCTCCATCTCCCTGCTCCATGAGCTTTATCATACCTCGTCTTAAAACTATGTTATAGTTCATGCCTCTTACTACATCGTTGCCAGTCTATTCCTTTTCTAACAACTCTGTAGTGAAGAATTACTTCCTAACATCCCTTTTGATCATCTGACTCTTCAGCTTCGAATTGTGGACCCCTTGTTTCTGTGTCCCATCTTGGAACATCCTGGCTCTGTTTCACCTTGTCTATTCACAGCAGTATTTTGACATGTCGCTATCATGTCTCCCTGGACTCTTCCTTGTCCACAGCTTGTGTCGTCCGATTTCCCTTAACCTTTCTTCATAGGACATTCCCCTTAGCTCTGGTACCAGCCTTGTTGCAAACCTTTGCACTTTTTTAATTTCTTGAGTGCTTGACCAGGTGTGGGTTCACAACTGGTGCTGCGTACTCCTGTATGGCCTAACGTAACATCGGTGTACAGTCTGAACGATTCATTACTGGAGGTTCGGAACGCTATTCTCAGGTTTGCCAGGCGCCCATTGCTGCAGCAGTTTTCTGGTTGGTGTGTGCTTCTGGGGATGTATCGAGTATTTTCTTCA